AGCGAGGCTGTGGAAGCCCCATGCCCAGCCCCGACGGGACGCAGCCCTGAGCTCCCACTGACCCTGTCGGGGAGGAGAGCGGGCGGCTGCGTTAGAGGTGCTTCGAGGTGCCTCCCAACCTCAAACACTACGCAATTTTAAGTTTCAGCTAGGTCATGCTAGAGTCTCTCTTTTGTTACATGATTTATGCAAGTCATACCGAGCTTTTGTTTTTCCAGATTCCAATATTTCCAACACAGATAAAAAACCAAATAAGCCTTTTGAACAACTGAAGGAAATAAATACAGAAAACCACGCTGGCCCTTCACCCCTACTGCTACAAAAGATCCTAATTTTCAAAAGTAACCACATCAATGTGTAAAGGGTAAGCTACGGAAGTACCTGAGCACCGTGCTGTTTTTCCTTCCCAAGCCCTCTTCAGAAAATACAGACATACCATACAGATAGTTCTGCTCATTTTTCATCCTGTTCTCTTAAGGAGGTAAATTAACAGTCTCTATAGGTACAGAAAGTGGCTATAATTATCTTCACTTCCCACAGTTCCCTTCCCTCTCCACCCACAACCCTTATTTTAGGTTTGGGTTAAAAATTTATCCAGCTCTGCACAAACTGTAAGTAACAATCCTAGCTCAGCCTGACACAGAAAATCCGGTTCATTCTCACGGTCCCCAGGTGCCTGTCGAGTCACTGGCTCGTGGCCCCCCAAGCTCTTACAGACGGCGAGGTAGGAGTCACGAACTGTCCCTGTCGCCCCAAGCACCGGGGGCCAAAAGCGCCTCCAGCCCCCGTTCAGCCAACGCAAGCTCAACAGCCATCGGTCTCTATGCTGCCCTTGCCCGGTTCTGGGCGGCTACTGGGAGCTCGCGCGCGCAAACCAGAACAGCAGAATGAAACCGGCGGCCGCTCTGCACCGCTCAACTGCTGGCGACTTCAGAGGCCTCCGGGCGGGTTCTGCCATGTCATCCAGCTGCAAGCAACCCGATCGGGGGCTTCCGTGACATTGGCAGAGAGAAGTGACATTTAGATCACTAGGGTTAAACTCCTTGCCTTCTGGTTGCTAATGCTCCCTTATCACCCGTACTGGTATTTGTTCCTATCGATAAAAAAGGAAGTAATTTAGTCACGTTTAGGTCATCACTTCTACAGCTGTTTTTAAAGGTGATTGCAACTATAAAGCAGTAAAAATACTCCTGAGGTGGAAGAAAGAGGGAAGGCGATCCACAAGTGGTTACATTACAGTGCATTAAGATATATTATGTGCATCCAGTCCACAAGCCTCAAGCACTAGTCTGACGGAGCCTCCTTCCCAGCACGTAGGTTGGGGAGCACTGGGTGCTCAGCCCTGCCTCACTCTACAAACCTGCCCCGCTGCGCGCTACCAACTGGCTAACGAAGCGCAAAGCGACGCAGTCACCTAAGTGCCACCAGATCAAAGGGCCTTATCTCTGGAGATAAAAGATAGGGAGCCTTTGTGCGAACAACCTGGAACTGAGATGTTCCAGAGTAACAGCAGCCCTTCTCCGCAACCACACAGCCGGAGCAGAGTGTATTTATGTTTGGCAAAATCTGTAGCACAGAATAGTGCTCTAAGAGCGCTCCTTTCTCTAGTTAGAGAGAAAATGTCTTTAACCAAGCGCTTCGTACTGTCAGTCTCGCCGGTGATAGAGTGCATATGCCCAGGCAACCCTAAGAACACACGCCCGACGACAACAGAATAACTATCAAAGCAACGAAGGCATCAGGTGCAAGATCACAAACGCTGCTCCTCTGCTGTTCAGGGAAAGGCACCAAATAAAGTACTAAGCTCCAACTCTCTCCAGCATCGCCCAGCGCGCACCTCCTAATTCACTTCATGAGGGCCTGAAAAACACATCATCCCGCGTAAGAGGAATGGCACCTGCTCATAGAGGCGGGCAGAACTAAGAACAGCGTTGAAACCACCTCACCGGTGTTACTGCCTCTCCTTTGGCAAACCTGACAGCGCACACCCGAGTGCGCACACCATCACGCGTCGTGTTCTGCGATACAGCCACTCGGCTGCGGGGAGACCACCCCAGAAATGCCACCAGGCACCAACCCAACCTCCCGCACCACCCACCGCCCCGCGAGGGGACCCGGCGCAACCTGTGGCAGCAGGAGGGCCTCTGCGGAGGCGAGGGGTGGGTTTTCCCTTTCGCTCGTTTTGTTCTCTCCACATCGGAATCAGCGATTAGAGGTGACAATAAATTAAATCGACTGAAGTTCCCCGTCAGTAAACTCTTTTTGCCTGTGACGCTGCCTCATTAAACAGCTGTATATTCTTGCCAGCAAGACAGTCACACGGTTTTCTTTGATGTCAACTAATTTCAAAAGAAACCAATCAGGCTGGGAACTGTACACTAGATGCTTGACTAATTACCGGCTTGCCAGTTGGAGATGTCCAAGACATGGGCCGTTTCCATCTACCTGCTTCCCATGCGGTCACACAGCGTGTTGGGTAAGCACAGAAACCAAGGAGACTGAGCACAGAGGGCTCAACATTTCAGCAAACATAAAAAAAAATAAATCCCAGCATAAAGTTTTTGCTGACATCACAACAAATACTGTTAGACCAGACTTCATGACTTTAAAAATGTATTTAAAACAAAAAAAATTCTTAAAACATTTATTCGAAGGCAGAAAATATCACAAGCTGGTGGGTTTGTTATCAAGTGCCAATGTCCATGCCTTCGTCTAATGTCCATAGCCCACTGTTTGAAAGAAATCGTACAGGACTCATGCAAGTTTACACTCTGCTTTTGAAACCGGTGGGAGACTCTGAATGCGGCACCGTGCGTGTCACGGAATGCAGTCATCATCCTTTCTCCTCTCTTGGCAAAAGAAAGTTAAAGTTAGAGATAAAGGACACTCTGAAGTATATCGTACTTTAATCAATGATTACTCTGGAGAGAAATTCTGAAGCACCGTGTCCCTTAAGTAACAACATTTACTCTGCCTCTATTACTCATTCTAAAATATCTGCATTTAACACATGCACAAGGTAGTCTCGGGCATTTCTATCTTTGCAAAGAGCAGGAAAACAGGTCCTGAAGAACACAGAACATCCACCCCTAGAATCGGTTTCGTTTCTTACCACTGAGTAATCCGGACAGTTGGTGGCCAGTTTGACGAACTGCTATCGCGACCCTGACGCCTCCCTCTTTGCCCTTACTGCTCCACAAAGACAAACCGAAGGGCCACCAGCCGCTTAGTCCGACAAGTTGCCTCTTTATGTGAAATAACGACGCCGCACTTGGAAGAGCGCGCACCAAAGCCGCGCCATGTTACACGGGGGAGAAAATCCAGGGCCGATGACACGTTGGAAGTAACGCTGCTCGGCGACTGGAAAAACCAAGCTCCGGCAGCCGAAACCCGTCACAGCCTCCTTTCTTTTTAAACTCCGTGTGTTTAAGAGGAAGCAAGGCAGCGGCAGGAACGGCAGAACGCTTACTCCAGGCGCCCTTTACGGGACTTGTGGGACGGGAACGGCCGGAAGGGCGAGGGC